ATTTTCATCAAATTGTATAGGATAACGTTCATTATATGCTTTACGTTTAGGATAATCAGACATAGTTAATTTATAACCATTTATGACTTTAATATTACCTTGACCATCAGTAACGAAAACTTCATTTATACCATCAGGTTTTCCATTTGGACCCGTAATGTCTGCTTCGCGTGCTTCCCAATTTGGTCCATGACGTTTGGCATATGCTTGAGCTTCTGGTAATGTTAAAACGTTTCTCATTTGTTTAACATCTTTTTGAAGACCGGCAACAATATGAACTAATTCTTTCATTCCATCTGGAACTTTCATAGTTCTATTATATGGACCCTTTTTGTTTGTCCCTTGTTTTAATGGAACCTGTAGAAGATTTGCTATTTCTGTCATGTTTAATTATAAATAAAAAATAAAAATTAATTATAAAAAGTTAATCAAATTTAACACCTCCTTTATTTAAATCAACTATTATTTTTCCATGTTCTCCTAATTGTTGATATTGTGTGTAAAGTTCATTAATGCTCATTGGTAAATTCACTTGATAAAGCATAACGTTCAACTGTTGACGACTAAACCCACTGAAAATGAAAAGTGTTGATAGATTTGATTTAATGTTTGTGCTTAATGCTTTGAAGTATTGAACAGCCATGAAGAATGAACACTGAATGTGTCGACATTGAGTTAATAACTGATTAAAATATGATTTCTCATTAGTTATTAGTTTTGATTTCACGGCATCATCTAGAAAAATTAGTGAATGCAAAAATTCTCTATCAAAATTTGAAATAGAAAGTGTTTCAAATAATTCATCCCGTTGTTTATCAATAATTTTATCCTCTAATCTTTGCTTCTTGATTGTATTATATAATTCTTTATACATTAAAAAGTTTTTTAAATAATCTTCTGCTTCTTCTTGTGATAAATAAATAATTGGAATTTTGATTAAATGCTTTAAAGATTCAAATGTATCATCTGAAGGTGAACCTGAACGGTTGATATAAATTAACACATGTGAATAGGGGGAAGTGTTAGCAATAATGATAATTTGTTTTAATATCGTTAATGTTTTACCTTTATTTTGTTTACCAATTGCTGCAGTGATTGAATTTAAGTAACATTCAGAATATGGAATTTTCATTAATTTTTCCTTAGATAGAGCATTTCTATTATCACTCATGCTTCATTAATCATATCATCTATGTATGTATTATATACTCCCGCTAATTCTTCATAAGGGGTGGATGAATTTAAATCCATTTAATCAAAAATAAATTTATAATTTTAAACATTTCTATTCATCAATATTTCATCATATGAACTTCTATACTGTGGTGGTGTGTACCTGTTGGATGATATTTCAAACCTTCGTCCGGTGTCCATGTCCAATACGTAGTCCTAGTAAACCAAACCTGAGGAGGATTTGTCACCTTTGAACAGTAAGTGTCATTTTCACCCTGAATGATTGGATAAGCTTTCACTTGTACTGTAACTTGTGAGTTGAAAGTTTCTAATCCATCAAAGAATATACCCGCTCCATCACGTTGAACTGGAATAGTGCATAAGAATGAAGTTTGGTCTTTCCATGTTCTAGCTAATGGCGTGCCATCATCTGCATTCAGTGGTCTAGTTAATGAGTCCTCGTATTCTTCTGTGCATTCATTCACTCCATCTAAATCAGAAGCTTGAAGCATACGTGTAAAGAATATGTCGCCCACTGTGGTCATCGCTTGATCGGGGAAGTTTCTGGAATCTATAGTGACCTGAAGACCTCGAAGCATTGGATTTTCTAAAACTGTTCTTTGCATTGCATTCTTCGGAAATGTTAACACAACATCTGTAACATTATGAAGAGCGTATGAGAAATCTGAGCTGATACCTTCAGGAGTGATGCAACCTCCATTTAGTGAACGAACGTCAATATGTTGAGCTGGAATCATGAATGGATCTTCCTTACTGAATAAACGTGGTATTGCTTTAACTGATTCTTCAATTAAACCGTATCCTGGTGTAATGCATTTATCCTCTAAAACTTCCATCTTTGTGCATGAAATAATAACGTTATCAACTGTTGCGTCAGCAGATGTAGCGGCTAAGCTTGTAATTAATTTGGCAGGAAGTCCGATTTGTTGGAATTTGCGATCATATTTATAAATATGATTCATAATCTTTTCATAATTTTCATCAGTTATCTTTTCATAAACGTAATTTTGTAAATCAGCAACTCTTAACGGGTCAACCTGACAAAATACTAAAGTATCCCTGAAAACATAATATTTAAGAATGATTTCACCAAATGATTTAGGATAATCATCGAACGCCTGAAATGCTAACAAATCATTTACCGGAATAATCATATCAAAAGTGACATCAACTTCTTCATTTGCTTTCTTGAAAACTTCTGAAGGGTCAATATATTTACCACATACTGAGTTATCATATTTTTGAACATTATTATATAACGAATGAACAAACTTTTTAACTTTCCTTTCTGATTTTGGTTTATATGTTGCAAATGCGAAAGATTCACGGGCACAATCCATCTGAAGATAACCGGCATCACCTCTTTCGGTTTCTACTTCTAATTGTTTAAAGCTTTGATTTGATGATTTGTAACCAACGAATAAACGCATGCATTTAAAAGCGGCATCACATGTGAAAGCTTTATTTGAAACTAGAGTTGCTTTAACTTTGCGTTTAATATATGTGTCACCTAATTGGTTCACATCATGAGCCGGATTTGTAATTCTTAAATGAGTTTGTTTATCATCAAAATATGGAGCATCAGAGTCATAGCATGAACTTTCAAGTTCTCTATAATATCTTCTACCGTCATTCTTCGCGAATATTTCATTTATCTTTTCGAATGAATGAAACACATTTCCATTAATCGGTTTAGTGTTTGGCACCAAATAGTTAGTCGTCATTTATTAATAAATAAAAAATCAAAATTAAAAGATGAAAATGAATTTTTAATTTTAATGAAATAATCAACTATGGCTGCAGGTATATTTAAGAAACTGTGGGATAAAGTAAAAAGAGGAGCGCATAAAGTTTGGGAAACAATGAAGAAGGGAGCAAATTGGATATTTAAGAATAAAGAAGCAATTAGTGACATTGCTGAATCAATAACGCCAAAAGCTGCCCCAATAAGAGAAATTTTAAATAAAGGAGAAAAAGTTTATCAAAGACTACAACCGATACTAAGATAAAAATAATTTTAAAATAATTTATTTTTCCACTATCTACCCCCTATTTTATTAAGTATTCCTTCAGCTATTCCACCAATTGCGTTACCTGCTTGTGCTCCCATTGCCGGATTACCTGCTTTTGTACCTAATACTCCACCTATGATAGTTCCTGCCGTTTTCGCTACTGGTGCCAAAAAGTTTGCAACAGGTTTAATAACCTTTTTATAAACCCAACCCGCAGCTTTCTTAATTCCTTCCCATAATTTTTTAAAGAATCCTGCAGCCATTTCTGATTTAATATTAATTAAAAAATATATTTCATCACTTATATTCTAATTTTTATTTAATGATAAATGAAACCAATTTTAAAAATAAATGAAACAGAGGAGGAAGAAATAAATGAAAGTGAAAATGTTCAACAAAAAATAAACGTTGTTAAACCAATTACTGAAACAAAAATTTTTTCATCTGTTGAAGAATTTAATGACTATTATGCCAATAATAAAAAATTATTTGAAGAATTGACAACGTGTAAATTGAATAAAATGTTTAAAGTTGATGGATTCAAAATTTCAAAAATAAAAGGGGTGATTAGTTTGAAATCTATTCCTCAATCAAGAATCACCTCATTAATGAAAATTGATGATTTAACAAAAAGAATAGAAATTATTGAAGAGCGAATAAATCAAATTATTGATTTCATAAATCATGACTCGTTGAGCCCGGGTCCTTAAAACCCATCACTGAGTTCAAGGTTATATTCATCAAATATTTCATTATTAAATGCAACTTCTGCTAGTTTATTTATTTTTTCAATACGATCATTTGAAAGTCTATCGTTTAATTTTTTCTGAAGTTTTTCATTTTCTAGTTCTAAAATTTTACATGGATGATATTTAAACCCGTTAAATTCTTTTTCCTCAGTTTTAATCATTAATCTACAAAGAACTTTAGTGAGGTGGTTTTGTTGTTTAAACCATTTATCCTTAATATTTGTTATAAATTCAATATCCGGAATTAATTTCCAAATTTTTGAATTTTCGATTAATTTACCATCAAATGCAAAAGCAATAGGTTTAATATTAAACTTACCTTTATAAAATAAACTTTGTATGTAATCATCAAAATAAACGTCTACTTGTTTAACCTGGGTGAGAATTGGTGAAAGTTTATTCATTAATTGATTTACAGTCACGAATTTTGATTCACTCATTTCTTACGAATTAAAAAATAAATTATTCAAAAATGTAAGACATGAATTTTTAAAGTTTATTTTTTAAAAAATTTTTTTATTTTTTTTATTTCATTATGTTTGGGCTGAGTGTAAATGTCTTACAATTTTGAAAATTTTTTAAATCTTGATTTATTCAAAAACGTAAGAATAAAAACCGTAAGAATCATACATTTTTTACTTCATATGTCAAAAAAAATGATACAAAATCGTTCAATATTGTATGAATTCTTACGTTTACAAAAAAAGTCACACAACCCATCCACATATACTACTATAATTATCAAGCACTTGACAAGGTTATTTTAACAATCAACAATGTTGAAATCGCCCTCACAAAGTCATTCGCAGTTGCAATTTCGGAAGCTTTTTACTCACAGTATCTTTTAGATAATAATTTTGCTAAAATTGATATTACAACCGAAGTGAAATCACCAGACACATACAATATTTTAAAAGATATTCTCCAATACAGAAAAACAGAAATCGAATGCGATGAAACAATTTTGAAAGACATCTTTCATATTGGAACCACACTTCAGATACAAGAACTCATAGATTTATATAAAGTACATATTATTGATCAAATGAAAATCGACAAAAATAATTGCATTCAATTACTTGAATTTTATTTCGATATTTCTTCAAAAGAAAAGATTTCCGAATGCATTGATTTTATTTCATCACATTTCTATGAAATCAACAAAGATCAACTCAAAACAATTTCTAAAAAACTTGGAATTGATATTCTTCAAAGAATATTTTGCAACGACAAACTTGAACTTGATGGTGAAGATTCATTTGCTAATTTCATTATTTCCCTTACGAAAGAAAGCAAAGAGTTCTATCCTTTGATCGAAAACATTTATTTTGAGTTTTGTAATGAACAAACAATTAAAGACATCCAAAACTTAACAGATACTAATAATTTCCAAAATATTGTGAACTCATTCGGCGATTCACTATTGAGAATAAAGAATCACAGCTCTAAAAACAGAAATAAGTTTATTGTTACATTAGTCACAAATTATTTTGAAAGCGGAGATGTCGAAATGTCTGCTTCATCTATAGATTATAGCAAGTCCATTGACATAATTAATAAGTATAGAAGTGACGATTATTTCATAACTCAAAATATTCCTAATTCATGGGTTCAATGGAAGATAAAACAAAATTATTCAATTCAACCCACTGAATATATTGTTAGAACTGTGCCAAATAACAAGGGTTACAGTGGCTGCCATCTTCAAACATGGAAAATTGAAGGAACAACTATTAATGGAGAAACAAAAGTTCTTCATGAAGTAAATAAATCACCTCTTATTAAAGGAGAAATCCGTAAATATCATTTAAATACAGAAGACAAATTTATATCATTCAAATTTGTCCAAACAGACAAAAATTATTCCGATAATGATTATTTAGTTCTAGATGTTTTTGACTTTTCAGGAAATTTATATGAAAATATAAAGTAGTTGAAGACATTTCCATCATTTGAAAATCGAACGTCATGTCTCCCATTCTAAGTGTATTCGAACAAAAGTCCTCATAAATTGTTAACACCAATACCTGTGATGCATTTGAAAACATCTTTGCATTTCTAACAGTAGACATTGACCCATTCGACGCCTTTATTTGACTGCTATCATGTCTTACTATGATATTATAAAATGATGATAAATTTTTTTTATACATAATCAAATCCGTTTTTATTGTATTGTAGATCAACTGGTTTTCCATTCTGGTTCTTAAAAATTGAGCGAAATGAGATAACTGACATCTCAAATTATGAAAACGAGCTTTCGTTATAAAGAAATACATATTTAAAAAAAGTTTTATGAACAACATTATTATAAACAAATCATATTCGCTTCTGAATCTCAAAATTTGAGTGAATTTAAAGGAATACACGCGAAGAATATGTGATATTTAGTCTATTTATATAAAACAAATAATAATAAAAAATTATTGCAAAATATCTGGAATATCTTGTCCAGCTTGTTCCATATACTTTCGAAGTTCATATCTAAGTCTATCATCCTTTCTTCTATCGAAAAGAGAGATTGCGACTCCTGTTCTGTCCATTCTACCTGTCCTTCCAATTCTATGAGCGTATTCAGTAATAGAATCAGGCATATCGAGGTTCACAACATGTGTAATATCATTTACATCAATACCTCTACTGAGAACTGCTGTGCAAACCATTGCAATTGGATAATTTGCATGTTTGAATGCGTTTAAAGCCTTTTCTCTATCAATTTGATTGACATCACCATGAGTATAAACAACTTTAATATGTGGTGCAAGATAATCATGTGCTTCTTCAACAGTTCTCTTTGTTTTACAGAAAATAATAATTTTCGGATATGATTCATTACCTTTTGATCTCTTTATACCTTCAACTATTTCTCCGAGTTGTCTTAAGCTATCCCTATCTTTTTCAATGACCATCTGCTTGATGTTAATGTTAATTGTTAATTCCCTTGAATTCACAATAACTCTGATGTATTCTCCCAAATAATTTTGTGCCATAAACTGAACTTCATCTGGCCATGTCGCAGAAAACATAAGAGTTTGGATGTTTTTAGGACATCTTGATATAACAGCTTTGCATTGAGGTTCAAAATCATTTGAAACCATTTTATCTGCTTCATCAATAACAACAATTCCAATTGATTCTGGTTTGATGTTGTTATTTCTTATGAAATCTAATAATCTTCCAGGAGCAGCAGCAATAATATCAGCGCCAGCAATATCTCTTATTTGTTGCCTTCTGTTGTTTTCTCCTCCATAAGCAACAGCTACTTTTACTGATGTGTTTTTAGTCAAAATTTCACCAAATTCTTGTATTTGTTTAACTAATTCTCTTGTATTTGCCATAATCAAAACATGTGGTCCTCTCTTCTTATTTTGATTAATTACATATGTAATTGCAGGAATCAAATAGGCAGCAGTCTTTCCTGATCCTGTTTGAGCAATTCCAACAAGATTCATGCCAGACATAACAATAGGAATTGCGATTTTCTGGATTGGTGTTGGTTCTGTCCAATTTTGCTCTCTTACGTTTTGGAAAAGTTCAGGAAGCATCATTTGTGGATTAAATTGGAATAATCGATGTGGACAATCTCCAATGATTTTTATGTTCTCTCTTATTTTGAAATCTTCAAATTCTTGATCAGAAACAAGTCCAACAGACATATTCAGTCTTTGAAAATCTCCATCAACTCTTTCTGAAGCAGAATTTTCTATTTCTTCGCAAAGAAGTGTTGTATCTTTGCTTCTGCCTCCTGATGAATATCCTCCACCGAAATTAGATGATTTCTTATTGGAAGAAGAGGAATTATCATTGTAATTCTGGTTGTAAGAATTACCATTATCATTTCCACCGAAATTACCTTGATTTCCACCAAAATTACCTTGATTTTGGCCAAAATTTCCTTGATTTCCGAAATTATCATTTTGATTTCTTTGGCCAAACTGATTTTGATTACCCGTATCATTACCATTTCCTTGGTTATAGTCATTTCCACCGAAATTACCCTGATTTTGGCCAAAATTACCTTGATTTCCGAAATTATCATTTTGATAATTTTGATTTCTCTGACCAAACTGATTCTGATTGCCCATATCATTTCCATTTCCTTGGTTATAGTCATTACCGCCAAAATTTCCTTGATTTCCGCCGAAGTTTCCTTGATTTCCAAAATTATCATTTTGATTTCTTTGGCCAAATTGGTTTTGATTACCCATGTCATTACCATTTCCTTGGTTGTAATCATTGCCACCAAAATTACCTTGATTTCCACCAAAGTTTCCTTGATTTCCAAAATTATAATTTCGAGAGTTTTGGTTTCTTTGATCATATTGATTATATCTATCATTATCATTCCATGGAGGTTGATTATCTCTATTTTGGCCGAAGTTTCCGCCGAAATTTCCTTGATTTCCATAATCGTTTCTAAAATTCTGATTTCTTTGGTCAAATAAGTTCATATTCCTCTGGTTATAACCATAGCCTTGGTTTGGACCATTCATGTAATCGTTATCGTATCTATTTCTGTTGTAATCGTTTGGTCGGTTTCTTCCGTAATCGTTATATTGATTTTGATTTCCTCCAAATCTCGAATTTTGATAATTATCATCGGGTCTTCCTCTATCGTTATAATCTCTCCTGCCATAATCATCTCTAAAATTGTCATTTGGATAATTTCTATTTCTGCCATCAAATCCGTCATTATAGTTGTAATTTCCTCGATAGTTACGATCATTTGGGCCATTCTGATCAAATCTATTGTAATTGCCTTGATTTCTATCATTGGGATTAAAATTATTATCTTGAAAATACGGTCTTTGATTTTGATATGAATTTTGCTGATTGTATTGGTTTCCTCTTTGATCGAAATTACCATTTCCGAATTGTTGGTTCATTCCGTTGTAATTTGAATTTGGTTGATTTTGCTGGTTTTGATTGTCATTCATATCTTTTCTATCGGCACCGTCATTGGTCATGTTTGGACCAGAATTTCGAATGTTGTCAACACTTCCAGCACCTTGAGAGTTCATTTTTGTGAAATTTGAAAATTTATAAAAAATTCACTTCAGTCATTGACTTCATCGAGGAAGTTAAAAGTGCAAATTTGATATATTAGCTATCATCATTTGGTAATCAGTGGTAGCTAATAAATTCAATATTAGAATGGATTTTTTCCACAAATTTCTACAAAAACCTTATAGTTTGGGTATTATAAGGTATATATCTTCAGGAATGAGAAAATTACGATAGATTTTGGCCATATTGGTCAATTTCCTTGAAATCGACTCTTCAAATATATCCATTAATGTAAGAGGACATCATCTCTCGTTACTACTATACACAAATTTATATAGTGCTTCGAAGCTCTTTCAATTTCATGGTAAGGGAAGAAATAGATATTGAAATAATATTACAAATAGTTTTACTTTTTCATATCCAGCTTAAAAACATAGAATTAAATAGAAGATTGTGATATTTCAAAAAATATTTAGAAAATAAAAAATTGTTCTCAAATAAAGCAGATATTTTCATTCAAGAGGTACATTCCTCAGCGATTTTAACAGGAAAAGACATCCTTCAATAGAACATCACTGAAGTGAATATATTTGAGAAAAAAGCTAAATTAAACAAATTACATAGCATATTAGTATTAGAATGCTTTGAGATACGCTGTTCGGTGCTTTTTCACTGAAATCAACCGCACCTTGGTATGTGATTTGATCAGATCGAAAAAATTTCGTAAAAAAAATTATTTCAAAAAGTGCCATAGAGAAAAATACTCTTCAATTGATCCGAAAACAGATTTATCTCATTAGATACACATAGAAGCTTTTAAATATTTTATTCAAAAATTGTCATTTTTTCAAATAACAATTATTTGGGGAAATGAATGATGTAACTGAGGTGTTCACCGATCCAAAAGCACTCACTACATCAGTATTCCCACCAAAAATCAAGGCATTCATGAATTATTTTGATGATTTTTCGAAGCAATGTTATAAATCAGCAGTAGAACACGTTTCTCAAAAAAGAGCAAACAAGCTTAAAGCAGACGATACAAAAACAACCGAACATGATGACTTAATTGAATATTTTCAATCTTTTTCTCTTCAAGAAATCGCAAATAAAATTAAAGATTTTCAGTTGTATAATAAGACTAACGCCTTTAATGATTTATTCAGAGACAAGCTAAATGAACTTCTAAATGAACCACCAGGACACTTAGGAATGAAAATATTAATTTCGACATTATTTTGTGATATTTCATTAATCGCACATTTCTTACATTCATCAGAAAAGTTCTCTAATCATGAAGATTATGATTTCTGTAGAAGCGCTACAAAAATGTTAATCAATTCTCCACAACCTCCTTTGTTTTATCCAAATATTCTAGCGGAACCAACACAATCTATCGAAATACCAGAAATTGTTCCTGTTGTTCCTACGTCAATTGCTATTGTTGACAGCTCATTTTACATTGGTATGCCAGACAAGCATCTGGCGATTGTGGAAGTGAAAGGAGACAAAACAATTGCATCCAAAATTATTCCTTTCGAGGTCTTTTCCGTTCCTTTTTCAATTGTTACGAAAGGAAAAGTATTAGTTTTCGTTGCAAAGGATCTTCCACCCCTGAAACTTACTAATGGTCACTTTTACAACCTACAGGTGAAGTTCCCTTTTTCATCTGTATTTAATAAGAGTTTAATTGCAAATTTCGAACCCCCAACTATTTCGGACGGAAACAAGTTTTACTGCGTCAGATTTGGCGATAATCCGTCTATTTCTACTTATATTATTGATGATTTAATTATTCGTTACCAAGATTCAGTCGGATTAGTTAAAAATGACCAAGAAATGATTCCTCCTTTTACAGAGTTACTTCCTTTGAGTCAAAAAAATATCGCTTCCATGTCAGTTAATGGCACATTTATAAATTTCATTTTATTTCAAGATGGTGTTCGAGTTTGCCGCATATTTAATGTTATCACTGGCTATCATCTGAAGGATGTCCTGCTAACATCAGATATGCCGTTCAATTCCATGATTTTCGACCCACAAAGATTAGGAATTTGGATTTTGACGGATTCTACACTGAATTTCTACAAGAATTATTCTAACATATCACATTCAATGATCAATTATATCATTCCAAAGTTTAGATCCGATTATTCAACTGCAAAAGACAAATCTCAGCTCCAAATATATACAAGTGCATTATCAACATACACGCAACAGCTCATTGGCTCAAATTCACCTGATTTAGTGTTCAGATTTACTGGAAAAGGAACAAATTGTTTGGAATATACAGTAATTCAATTTATTAAAGAGAAAAATTTCAATTTAGCACAAATGTTCATGATATACTTACCATTAAACTACGCACAACCAACATTTCGTGAAGAATACTCTTCTCAACTCTTGAATTTGTTGAATTCTTGTTATTCAGACACTAATTACAAACAATTACATAAGACGATAGTATATTTATTTTTGTCTTCACTCGACCACTTTATTATGACCGATAAAAGAATTTCCGAAATTTTGCTTCAGAAAATTCTATCGTCTGCCGACAAATATTATGTTTTAATTTTCAGATATATGGATACGTCTAAGAGTTTCCTTTCGATTATGAAGCCAAATCAACTCTCTGTTTTTGTTAATTTTATTTTCTCATATGATTTGAAAATTCCGGACTTTATCTACGGTATATTGTATTCTATACAAGCTCATGCTTGCTGTTCGCAGGATCCTGTTCTAATTAATATGCTTTTGCAAGAATTTTCAACAAGATTGCTGCAAACTTTCACAGAAACGAATGATTTCCAGAACACTATCATCACAATACTTATTGAGAAGTTCGTTGCCTGTCTATCGCATCTTGCTAAGAGGTTTTTAGAATTTTATAAGCTGTCATTTAATCTTTTTGGACTTTCCAGCGCCTTGACCAAATATATAGATGATGGAAACTGCAAGATGCTCAACAAACTGATCTTTGAGTTCAAATTTTCTGCTTTTATGATCGCAGCGAACCAATTAAGGTCAAAACACTTCATTATCTCAAAGAACATCCAGCTTAATGAGTTTGCTGATGGAAAATACACGTTTAACCACCAAATTCCTGATTGTTTCAAAAATATTTTGGAACAAATCTTCAAACAATCAATTGTTTACAGCCAAACACCGAAATACATACAGAAGAAAGTCGACAAACTCTGTGAATTGATCGAAAACAACCCAGATCAGAAAGATCTCTTCATGGCAAGGGCTAATTCGTTAATTCCTATACTTCCTCAGCCATTTTATTCCGTAGTTGGTCACCTGAGCGGCCACGAAGCCAAAATTTTCATCAAAAAGTCCGAAATCCCCATCACAGACGTTGTGAAAATAATGATGGAACATTTTGACACGAAAAACAACCTTGATTTGCTGTTTTTCGACCATGTACAGCATATATTCCAGAAGCATTATGACAAGTTCTATTACATTGACCTCCAGAAGCTCCAGGAATTCATAATGAAGTTTTATTTGGATATCAAATTCCCAATTCCACTTTTGAAGTACTCGAAATGCAAACTAATATATTCCATGAAGGACATACTTGCAGGAGATATAAACAATCAGTACGAAAGATTCTGGGAATTGGTTGATATGTCAAATTTGGTCGATGTCTTCACACAACAGATCAATAATACGCCAAACGATATCTACTTCAGCAAGGAATTACGTGTACAACTGATAGACATCCTTTTAATGGCGAAATTGATTATTAAAAACCGTAAAACTCTGGATCCGGTCACTTCCAAGGTCTTAGAGATCTGCAAACATGTGTTTTACTCCGGATACGCTCCAAACATCAAGATTTGTCTTGAAATTTATGAGATGTTATTCGAATATGACACAAAAAGCACAGAATTCCTTTCTTACTGCATCAATGTTATTGGCAATACCATGTTTATGCATGACATTTGCATTGATCAGTCGAATTTTGCAGGAATTCTGCATATTGCAAATTTATTTGCAATTTTCTTTAGAAGATATCTGAAGCATAAAGAAATATACAACGAGTTCATCAATATGCTTCGGAATCCTTCGAAACAAGTCCAATTGTTGCTGTTAATAATTTGTAATAATTATTTTAACGTTCCAACATATGGACAAAAGGTTGAAGTGATGCAGGATGGAAAGCTTATATCAGGAACAGTTGATAAACTTCATTTACCGAATGTTTTGATCATAAATAACGAAAATAACGAAAAGATTTCGATAAATCCAGAAAATATCTTGAAAACAGTTGTAAAAGAACATCAAGATTTCGATATCTCTTTGTTTAAAGATGATTTCAAACTAATCCTGGATATTTTCGAAAATTTCGAAAATGATCAAAGCATTTTCAGACCATTTTACTTTGCATCGCTTGCAACATTTTGTGAAATCGACGAATTCGCTCAGAACATGTCAGAAAAGTTGATTCAAAAGATTATTGAATATTCTTCTTTGCCGAAGAGAAATTATGAGAATTTAGAGATGATTTTCATGAATTCTCTGACGATTTATACTTCTCCTTTGCCGTTCTTCGCTTTTGACTCCGAAAAAGTCGAAATTATTGATAATAAAACTTCAATTATCAATTATCTAGCGAAATTCGACAAATTCTCCTTTGACGATTCATTAATATCAATGGAGGAACCATCAAAGTTCATTTCAACACCATTGCCGCTTTGTATTCCTTTCGAAATCGATTTTGAAAGTTTCGAAAATTCCGAAAAAGAAAATTTCCAAATTTTTGTCACTTTTTTGGGTGAAAAAGATAATTCCCGATTTTTAACAGAGAAAACAGGCCATAAAACCAATCTAAAAATAGTTTGCGATCCAACAAGCAAATTATTAGCAGTTGGCGAAGATAATTATTTAATTCAACCATGTGTTGACATTTGTTACATAACTATTTTGTTATCTGCAGATGTTTTCATTAATTATCATGTGGGAATCGATTTTTGTTACACGAAACAAACGAAATGGCCTGAAATTTTCAAAATTCCTAAACTTAAAAAAGAAAAAATTGAAGAAATCCCGTTTGAAGACTCGATTTCGAATCTTTGGTCAATAATGAATGATTACTCACTTGAATTATCATCCAAATATTGTAGACAAAGTCTTTCATGTCTTATCAATCAAAGGAAACAAGATTTTAGATTAATTTCATCATTTGTTTTTAATCAAATTTTTGAAATTGAAAAATTCAAAAATTTGATTTCAGAAGAGTTAATTGAAGCAGTTTTTGAAATGTGTGAAAAGAAATATGATGAAATGAAACAATTGAATATTTCATTTAATAATAATTCAGCATATTTCAGTGACGAGAAAGAAGAAAATTCATTAGAAATCAGAGAAAATGTTTATTTGAATATTCCAGAAAATGAAAATTCGGAAACAATTATTTCATTCAAATCTATTTTAAATGATTGTTTGACAATTGTTTCTTTTATTAGCAAAGACAAAGAAGATTTCCTCGAAAGAATCAAGTCATTTGAACAGTATTTTAGTGATTTCGAAGATTTCACTCATATCAAAGATATTTTTATTCAATCAAAGTATTGATTTGTTTATATTTTTATTGTTGTTTATAAAACATTTATTAAATAAATTCGAGTTTTTTTAAATGTTCATTTCTTATCAAGTTATGGGATGTTCCTAAGGTTTTCAAACACCCAATATATTTTCATTTCGAATTAATTAACACTGCGAAAGATTTTTCCTGAAAAATCCAAAACATCGAGTCTCAACATATTATTGTCTGTACAATTTTTACCTGTTTGAATTAATTTGAAAGAAATAAATTTATCTTTTGTGTCAAGTGAATATTTACGAACTTCGCCATAATCTAATGGAGAATTATTTACTTCATGAAGAACTTTTGTTTCTCCATTAATAGTTGTTCCTTCAATTATCCACGTTCGAAGATGGCAGTCACAGTAACCCTTGTTATCTGGCACAGTTCTAACAATATATTCAGTGGGTTGAATTGAATAGTTTTGTTTTATCTTCCATTGAACCCATGAATTAGGAATATTTTGAGTTATGAAATAATCGTCACTTCTATACTTATTAATTATGTCAATGTACTTGCTATCATCTATAGATGAAGCAGACATTTCGCCATTTCCACTTTCAAAATAATTTGTGACTAATGTAACAATAATCTTGTTTCTGTTTTTAGAGCTGTGATTCTTTATTCTCAATAGTGAATCGCCGAATGAGTTCACAATATTTTGGAAGTTATTAGTATTTGTTAAGTTTTGGATGTCTTTAATTGTTTGTTCATTACAAAATTCAAAATAAATGTTTTCGATCAAAGGATAGAACTCTTTGCTTTCTTTCGTAAGGGAAATAATGAAATTAGCAAATGAATCTTCACCATCAAGTTCAAGTTTGTCGTTGCAAAATATTCTTTGAAGAATATCAATTCCAAGTTTTTTAGAAATTGTTTTGAGTTGATCTTTGTTGATTTCATAGAAATGTGATGAAATAAAATCAATGCATTCGGAAATCTTTTCTTTTGAAGAAATATCGAAATAAAATTCAAGTAATTGAATGCAATTATTTTTGTCGATTTTCATTTGATCAATAATATGTACTTTATATAAATCTATGAGTTCTTGTATCCGAAGTGTGGTTCCAATATGAAAGATGTCTTTCAAAATTGTTTCATCGCATTCGATTTCCGTTTTTTTGAGTTGAAGAATATCTTTTAAAATATTGTATGTGTCTGGTGATTTCACTTCGGTTGTAATATCAATTTTAGCAAAATTATTATCTAAAAGATACTGTGAGTAAAAAGCTTCTGAAATTGCAACTGCGAATGACTTTGTGAGGGCGATTTCAACATTGTTGATTGTTAAAATAAATTTGTCAAGGGCTTGATAATTATTGATTCTCTGGAGTACTTGGTTATTGAGCTGAATCAAAACCATTTTTTATGGTAAATTTATCCAAAATTTTTCTATTTTGAAAAAATCCTTGTTTAGGTGGTATCAGAATAGATATTAGATATGATATTATATTTTGACTGTTAACATGCTTTATAGTTTCATTTTGGACCAAATGAGCTGAATTCAGTTTTAGAATCTATAATTTTAATATAAAAATGTTATTGTGTAAATACAGTAGTCTCAAAAAATCAATTTTGATATAAGCAAACATTTAAAAAAGAATTGGCTGAAATAATTTTTTCGGTAAATTTAAACAAGCATTTTCTTTATTATATTATTGAGGCCTAATTAAAGAAATTCATTGTATCAATAGATCGATTTATTGATATTTTTAATTGACTCAGAATTTTCGTATCACGACTTTTTTCTAAGAAATCTGCCTGAAAAGTGACAATCTTCAAAACTATACAAGTTTGAAAATATATAATTATGAATTATATTGCTAAATCATTAATAATCTTATATTTATATTTCAAAGAACTTTATTCTCCTTTATTTTGCTTTTCTTGGAAATATTATTCATGGAATGATATGCTAGGGATGCGACGGTTTTACGCCATGACCGTTTAAAAATAGAATAATACGCCATTTTTGGGGCCGAATGGCGGGTACTTCGTACCTGCCATTCGGCCGAATAACAAAACAATACAAAATTATCGCCGTCCTTTTTTTTTCTTTCTTTCTCTTTTTTTTCTCTCTCTCTCTTTCTTTTCTCTTTCCTCTTTTTACTCCTCTTTCTCTTTTCATCATTAAACGTAGAAAGATATATTAATATTATTTTAAAATTAAAAAAAAAGAAAGAAAGTATAATAAGTAATTATTTAGTTATCGATATATATATGTAAAGTGATAATCTGAGGATAATCTGAGGAGGAGTCTGAGGATTAGACCGAGGAGTAGTTTGAGGAGTTTGAGGAGTAGTTTGAGGAGTAGTCTGAGGAGTTTGAGGATAATCTGAGGAGGAGTTTGAGGATTAGACTGAGGAGTTTGAGGAGGAGTCTGAGGATAATCTGAGGAGGAGTCTGAGGATAATCTGAGGAGGAGTTTGAGGATAATCTGAGGAGGAGTCTGAGGATAATCTGAGGAGGAGTCTGAGGAGTTTGAGGATAATCTCAGGAGTCTGAGGATAATCTGAGGAGGAGTCTGAGGATAATCTGAGGAGGAGTTTGAGGATAATCTGAGGAGGAGTCTGAGGATAATCTGAGGAGGAGTCTGAGGAGTTTGAGGATAATCTCAGGAGTTTGAGGATAATCTGAGGAGGAGTCTGAGGATTAGACCGAGGAGTAGTCTGAGGAGTTTGAGGATAATCTGAGGAGGAGTTTGAGGATTAGACTGAGGAGTTTGAGGATAATCTGAGCATAATCTGAGGAGGAGTCTGAGGATTAGACCGAGGAGTAGTTTGAGGATAATCTGAGCATAATCTGAGGAGGAGTCTGAGGATTAGACTGAGGAGTAGTTTGAGGATAATCTGAGGAGTAGTTTCAGGAGTAGTCTGAGGACTAGTCTCAGGACTAGTCTGATGAGGAGGACTCTAAGGAGTAGTCTGAAGAGTAGTCTCAGGAGGAAGATCTGAGGAGGAGTCTTATGAGGAAGATCTGAGGAGTAGTCTGATGAGGAGGGGTCTAAGGAGTAGTCTGAGGATGATGAGTAATCTGATTAGGAGTAGTCTGAGGATGATCTGAGGATAACCTGATGACTAGTCTAGGAGTGGTCTAATAAAAATGTAAAATATTTTCAAAGAAAAAATTCTATGAATTTTATATTTTAATTCTTAGCATTATACTGAATAAAATAAACATAAATATCAAAATTTGAAATTGAACACGCCAAAAAATTGATAATCCACATTCAATATTTTGTAAGTGGCGTACTTTTTGAATACTCGCCATACGCCTTGGAGTTCTCAATTTTGAATTCGCCTTTATTTGGGCGACCTCAGAAAAATACGCCATTAAGAAAATATTGTATGAGATTTTAAATTTGAACACGCTCTACCTTAAGGAATTAAATTTATTAAGATATATTTATATATAATAAACGATTACTTAAAAAAAAGTATTTCATCGCTTATGTAAGTTTCAAAAAAATCACGAAAATAAAAAAATCAAGATTAAAATTTTATTTTTAATTTTTGAATTTCTCAAATGGCGAAATTTTTGGGCGAACAAAAAAAAGTACGCCTGGTCAAATGGCGTGTTTAACGCATCCCTATGATATGCTTCGGCCATTGTCCAACGATACTGTCTCATACTCTAGGTTTTTTGTCTTGAATTTTTCATTTTCGAATTTTTTTGGATTTTTGTAAAGTTTGGGCGGTTTTCGATATTGAAATCAAAATTTTTGATTTTTAAATAAGCCATTATTAAATATTATTCAATATCTTTATAAATATCACTTAATTATAGAAATTCAAACCCATAAAAATTTATCCGTTATTTTATTATTTTTTTTATCAAAAAACCAATAACGTTCACTTCACATCCGGACAAAATTGAATACTTTGTCTTGGAGAAAAGACAAAATCCATTCAAATTATCGTTTTGTCTTGGAGAAAAGACAAAACCTATATGAATTGTCTTGGATAAAAGACAAATTTCTATAGTTTGTCTTTTATTCAAGACAAAATTCACACAAATTATAGGTTTTGTCCAAGATTTGAGAAGTTGAAGCACACCATCTAATGAAGATGGCCCCTTCGATGGCTGGTGTGAAGCGTTAAATCAACTTCGGTTTTGCCATACTTTTAGAAGTATCCGAGGAAATCGTACTCGAGTTCCCCGCCTCAAGCAACAAGGAGCTACAGGAAGCTGGTATATCCAGTATACCTGAAGTTCCTTGTTGCTTGGCTTCCTCGACTTACTCGCTCTAATCCCTCATCTCAGATCCCTCAAACATCCTCGACCTACTCGTTCTCACTCACCTCTCAGACCTCCTCTACATACACTCATCCTTCACTCATACCTCATCCTCCCTCAATGAACTCAGACTTTCCTCATTCTACCTTATCATCCCTCAGGCTCTCTCATTATCCCTCATAACTCCCTCATTCTACCTCAGACTAACTCATCCTACTTCTACCTTATCATCCCTCATTCTTCCTCAGACTCGCTCATCATCCCTCATCCAACCTCATCATCCCTCATCCAACCTCATCATCCCTCATAACTCGCTCATCATCCCTCATCCAACCTCAAACCTCGCTCATCATCCCTCATCATCCCTCATAACTCGCTCATCATCCCTCATTCTACCTCATTCTACCTTATCCAACCTCAAACCTCGCTCATCATCCCTCATCATCCCTCATCCAACCTCATAACTCGCTCATCATCCCTCATTCTACCTCATTCTACCTCATCCAACCTCAAACCTCGCTCACCATCCCTCATTCTACCTCATCCAACCTCATACCTCGCTCATCATCCCTCATTCTACCTCATCATCCCTCATAACTCGCTCATCATCCCTCATCATCCCTCATAACTCGCTCATCATCCCTCATTCTACCTCATTCTACCTCATTCTACCTCATCCAACCTCATAACTCGCTCATCATCCCTCATAACTCGCTCATCATCCCTCATTCTACCTCATTCTACCTCATCATCCCTCATAACTCGCTCATCATCCCTCATTCTACCTCATCCAACCTCATAACTCGCTCACCATCCCTCATTCTAACTCATTTTACCTCAGACATGCTCATCATCTCTCATCATCCCTCAGCCGATCTCATTCTACCTCAGAACTCTCTTATTACCCCTAACTTTGTATTGTCAGAATAAAAACTTTATTTTTAATAAATTTCAATTTTTATTTTTTCTCATTTTATATTCTTATTTTCTATACTATAGATAAAAATACTCAAATAACTCTATTAAATACATCATATCTCTCTATTCTAATCTTTAATTAAATTATATATTTCAATTTTAAAATGAAAATCGCATAGAAGAAAGAAAAGAAAGAAAGGAGAAGAGAAAGGAAAAGAAGGAAAAGAAGAAGAGAAGGAAAAAAAAAAGAAAAAATAGGACATATTTGATGATCCGGCGATTTTTTTTATATTCACTTGCGAACGTGGAGCTCAGACCTCTCGCTTCGCTCGAGCCTTCGCTCCACGTTCGCGCAAAATTTTTAACACTAAAAACCGCTTTGTCTGAGGGTCAAGGCAAAAACGTCACTTTTCCAAAGCATATGGAATGATTTCTTTACTGGCAGTCATACAGTAAGTAAAGGCGGAACTATTGGTGGAAATGTCTCTGTTTCCTGTTGTATATTCCAAAACCTTAACTCACAAGCAATAAAAGGATATGGACCATTTATCCTTATTGAAACATGTTCATTCCATAACATCAACTCTCAAGCAAATGAAGGTGGATCTATTTATTTAAAATGTAGTGATTATGCAAATTCAAAGACAGGTTTTATAGTTATCAAAAGAATTGAAATGCTTTATATATTGCTAATACACCAAGTAATAATTCTCTAATTTCTGTAACAAAATGTGGAGAAAAAACAGATTCTACTGGAACAATTTATCTGCTTAATGGATATCCTTCATTCTCTTATATTAATATTTCTCATTGTAATTCATCGAATGGAGGATATTTTATTGGTTCTCCTCAACAAATTGAAACAAATGATGATAATTTTAAATTCGGAATGTTTGTTGAGAATGATTCTCCATTGCATCGAGAGTTTTACTATCATGGAGCTGGGAAAAAGCAAATTGCTTCTCATTGTAATTACATTCAACAAAATAATCAGGGAAATATAATTAGATATTTTCCTACTCCTATAAGACCCGGTACTTTTAGCATAAGCGATTCTAATTTCATTTTAAATCCTAATTATCAATCTGTTGATGCAACGCATATTTTCAATTGTAACATCAACGGAATTATATACAATGAAGGAAGCCAAGTGGGAAGAAAAGAAATAGTATATAATGATCTTCCCATTGTGTGCTACTCTTATCCTGCACATGAACAATGCAAGAAAATTACACGTATACGATTAAGAAGAACTTCAATTAAAGCTTATATAGCTCTGATGAGAAAATAAAAATTATAGAACTTTATTATTAATCTTTTATTTTATTAGAATAGAAGGTCAAATATCTTTGATGTGAATTGTAATTTGAAGCAAATAGTCCAAATTTTGTAACATTGAATTCGATATTTTACATCTCGAAATCGGAATATTTTGCCTCTTTGACTGTATCTTTTAAAAGAAATAGTCCAATACAATTGAAATATATTGTTCTAGAAATCGAATTTCATCATAGAAAACTTTTTTGTATTCAGCAAGACAATCTTATTGAAATTTTTGAATCAATTATATCCATGAAAAACCAAGAGCTTGATCTGGAAATTCATCCTTTTTTTTTGACAATTTCATAAAATATTCGTTATCCTTTTTATACAAAAGTGGCATTTGGACAATTATTCTTCAACCTATTAATCAAAAGTACTTTTCATCACTTATGATATTCGTGATTAAAGATTTTCAATTAATATGCGGATTGTTTCTGATGTTTACCGCCAAATTTCTAAGTCGAAACATAATGATTGGAAAGATTTCTATTCGGGAAGTCATACGTCAAGCGTTGGTGGTACGATTGGCGGAATTGTCTCTATTTCGCGTTGTGTTTTTCAAAATCTCGAATCACATGCAATATACTGTGAGACACAAAATTCCAATATCCTTATTGAGTCATGTCTATTCCATCACATAACTTCGGATACAAATGGTGGAGCTTTTTCCTTTTATTGTGGCGAGTCCAGCTTTATTGTTTTAAATAAAATTTGCATATATAAGACTTGTGGCGAGGGTACAGGTAACGCATTTGAGAGCCAGTGGTCACCATTTAGAAGTTATCTGATTTCTATAACGAAATGTGATGAAAAAACCGATACACAGGATACAATTGCCATTTATTACGCATATACTTGTTTAAAAAATACTAATATATCTTATTGCAGTTCCACCATTGGAAGATATTACATTGCTGCTCCAACTTATATGGGAGATGAGGTGTTTAAATTTGGAACATTTGTTGAAAACAATTCACCAAGCTATTGTATATATCATCATTATTATAATTCTCATGATATTTCTTTTTGCACTTTCGTTCAAAAAAATTACAATGGATATATTATGGACTATACAGCGTATCATGATTCTGATACCTTAAATATTAGTGATTCTGTATTTATTTTGAATCCAAATAACCACGATATATTTAATCCCAATTATTATTCTCCTGAATCTATTCATTTCTTTAATTGTAACATGAATGGAGAAAATTATGATGATATACCTAATATTTGCTTCAATATTTTTGTTATAGATCAATGCATGCTAATAACGCGAAGCATAAATAGGAATCGATGTCTTAATCCATTTTTTGCAATATTACAATTTGCCTAACTTCTCAGCAGTTTGATCTCATTGATATATTAAAAGCTTTGCAAAAATCACAACAAATTTATAAAAAAATAATAATAATAATAAAAATCAAGATCATATAAACAAAACATTTATTTATAGAATATTCATAGATGATGAGGAAACCAGATTAACAATACTGAATACATTTGGATTAATTACAAGTCCAGAGAGATATTGTGAATCATTATATTCCCTTAACCATAGCTGTAATAATAACAATTGCAACAATGCACACAATCGTAAATCCAACAACAGAAACAATGATGATCAATGTTTTCCCTTTCGAACTTTTCTGATTGTTTGAAAACATAAGATTTGAATTACTATTTGGTGTTGGACTAATTTCAACATAAGAAGAAAAAGACTCATTTGTAATATATTCAGGTGATATTTCTTCTGAAGATGAAGATGAATAAGATGATGAAGAATAAGATGATTGATGTTCTTCTTCTTCATATTCCGATTCAGATGAAGAAGATGATGATTCGACTGGTTCATCAGTTTCAATATCACTATTATTTACTTTTTCGGTATCTTCGTTTTCAGTGAAATTAAAACTTTCATCAATATCGATAAAATTACCATTCATTAGAAATCCAGAAATACTTATTTCTCCTTTTGTGCAAACAATATTGATCATATGCTTAGAATTAGGCTTCAAGTAATGAATGCTATAAAGTGGGGTTTGATAAAACGTGTCCGTAATCATCTGAGATGTATGTTCATAAATCAAAAATGTTGTGTTACAAAAACCATCATATTTGTGATCTAAATATACTTCAAACATTCCAGAATAATATGATCTATCACCAATAATTGCTATACTATTTCCTGTTTCATTAAGTTCAATCATTATTGTCATGTTTGAACCTTCTTTCATCTTATATCCCTTGTCATTGTAGTAAATACCTGCAGAAGTAAGTTTTGCATCACCTGTAACGTTTATCTTACTATGTGTTGCAGGAATTATGTTCATTGTATTAGCAATATCCTGAAGAACAGGCTGTATGTCAACAATTCCACAGTGTTTTCCATAATAATTAGACAAAATAGTAATATTCAAGATTTGACAATGAATAACTTTGTCAAATATAATTGTTGGAAGTACATTAGAGTCAAAATTATATGTATTATAATATTTTCCGTCTAATGAAATTTCAATTTTTCCTTTAAGTCGTCGATTTTGACTTAGAATGTATAATTTGTTGAATCGAAGTTTGTCGCCAAAATCAATAACATAAGTAAGTGGAAATTCACCAACAACAACTGTATCTTGTCGGCCAATGTTGTAATCAAACAAAAGTTCTGTCAAATTTGATCCTTCAGTATAAAGTTGTGGATGACTTATTACTTTGAATTTCTGTGGATCATATTTTAAGAACATACTATCATAATAGATTCCAAGTGTAGGATCATTCTCAAAGATTGGTTTCCACTTATATTTGTCTTCATCTTCTAATGTCGCATTATTAAATTTAACACGATCATTCTCAATAAGTCTTACGAAATCATCTTCAGAGTTAATATATCCAACACTTCCTGATCCTACACCATTACTGTTCTTAATAACTAATCTGAAATAATACTTCTTATCTTTCTCGAGATCAAGCCATTTTGAGTTTTGATTCTTGTTATAATTCGTGTCAAAACCGCCCAAATTTGAAACCAAATATTCAGAATCTAATGTTTGATTTCCTGTCAAAGGAAACTCAGAGAAATAAAACAAACAATCTTCATCATGAACAATTATAAACTTGTATGGAGATGTTTTTGTTGGGAAGTAACATCCTTCGCTAACTGCAACCCATGGAGCAGAATTAGTTGATGGAATAGTCATTCGTTCATCCAACCAAATGATTTTATTATTAGTATTTTCTTCAATTTTAGAATACGCTGTGAAAATATCATAATTCTTATCTAATTTCATCATGGAAACTTTGCAACCTTGGTAGATTTGTTTCACAGTAACAATACATTTAGTTATATCACCATTTACATCATCAACATAAACAACTTTGAATTTATCAAGTTGGAAATCAGGATTTGGTGTATAAATGAATTTTCCTTCACCAACAGATTCAAATGTTCCATTTCCACCTTCAATTTCTTTGAAAGAAAAAGAATGCATTCCATTTCTTGTTTTCTTGTATTTAATGAAATCAAAAAGATAATTTTCTCTTGCAGGAATTCTCCATGGTTTTGCTGTTTCAAATTCTTTTCCATCTATTTCATATCCTGTTTGATATAACAATGCAATTGGATGGAATTCTGTTAAATTCCAACTATCCAAAAGATTATGTGTCTCTTGAGTTATATCAGTATCATAATTATATAATGAAAATGTCTTGAAATAAGCTCTCATATCTCTATTACTTATCTTAGATAAATGCAACAAATACTCACTAACATATGGATAAACATTATTCCTTGGAAACATTGTTCTATGTATATGTGCATACAAAACTTTACGCCATGTCTCTTGTCCGAACCAATAGAGATTATTCGCATACCATAGAAGAAGAGAATCTTCATTGATGGTGTTGTATTGATGACAAAATCTGCCCCAACCACCATTATAAACATTGAAATCTCCATTCAATGTTATTTGTCTTGTAGAATCAATTTCAGTCATCATTGAATAATGAATGTAATTCAAAACATTGTTTGTTACTTCTCCATATGATCCCCATCCCCAATTTGATTGGAATTGATGGCCAATTTCATGAACACATCCCCATGATCCCCATTTTATTGCATCAAAATTAACAATTCCTGAATACCAACTATTTGGCATTTGTATGTAGTTAGCACCAACAACAGAAAAAGCAGCACCTGTTTTAACAAATGAATCTAAGTTAATTTGTAAAGGTGTTAAAACTCTGCCATCTTTTCTTCGTGGATAATGCGTTACATCATTAACAGAATACAAAACTCGACTGACACCACGGTAGAAACCCATTGCATCATTAAGTTTGATAGCGGATTTAGCATCTTGTGATGGCATAACGAATGTTTGAGCTCCTGTATCAGCAACCAAAAGAAGACCTGGTAATTTTGATAATTCTTCTTCCCATTCTTGATCAGTTGTGACTCCGTATCTGAAGTATGGCATTCTGATGCCGCCTGTAATGTTTACGTCAAGTCCAGCATTGAATGAATCGTAAGGAACTGTAATTTCAATATGTCCGCCATACGGCCAACCGAATTTATTAATAGTTGACCCTAATGAAAAGTAGTAATTGACTTTGTCTAAGCGATTATTATAGTTGGATCCTGGCTCGGCATGCCTGTTAAGATTTACTCCTAACCTGCCAACGGCTTTTGGAGGTATTCCTATGGTAATAAGCTCGCCTGGTGGTGCATAGATTGCTGTCCAATGAACATTTGAGTATCTTGTATTAATGTAAAATCTAAATTTGTATCTTTGAGCGTTTCTTACATAATTTTCATTACCATTAAACTGGCGAACTCCTAAAGGATGTGAGTATAACTCTTCTTGTGTCAGTGTCGGTGTGGATTTGCAAAAATTTTGATAGATTGCGTTTGTTTCATTAACTAATTGCTCTTTAGTACATGTGTATGGATGTCCTGGCCATACATACTGGTTGTATTCTATTGGTGGGATTGAATATCCTGCTTCGCTAATGTCTCTTGTGGTAGGTGTGGGAATTTCTTCTAAAATTTCATATGAGTCGCATTCCTGGGCTTGAACAGTATCAGTTCCTCTATATCCAAATTCAGATGCTGTCCAAGCCAATGAATCCCTCAGAAAGATCACAAATATTTTTTTGTAATGCTAAAAAAATTCAATGAAATATCGAAATTGTAAAGTTGGTGGGTATTGAAAAGAATGATTACACTATTAGATTTTATGATTTTTACCAAGTGCATTTTTTTGTGTGAGAAAATAAGGTTTCAAAAATAATCAGATATTTCAATTTAGTATGCATTTGTGATCGTTATTTCAATTAATCTTAAATTTTTGGTAATTCAATTTTTGAAAGTGATACGGAATGATTAATAAATTTTCTGCAAAAAAAAACTATATTTTCATTCATTGATAATACGCTTAGAATAGAGATACTTAAACATCTTATCCAAAGCAATTTTTTTCACCATTTGGAATTTGATATTCGTTGCATTCGTATTTGAAACCGCAGTATTAAACACAATTTAGCTAACATCGTTTAGTTTTGAATGAATTTTAAGTTTCTAATGAATTATTTAATTAAAAATGATTAAAATTCATAAATTTTAATGTTTTATAATACGCATTCAATATAAAAAACAATATATAATTACATAATTACTCAAAGAATGGGGTTAACTCATGATGAGGCCTCGATTTCATTGTTATCGGCTTTTACTCCTTTCTCTTTTAGAAGTAAAGCAATAGTTTCATTTCCTCTCTGCACTGCTATATCAAACATTGTTTTCCCATCATATGATCTAATGTTGACATCTACTCCTAATTGAATCAAAGTATTAATTACATGTGGATTTCCCATTTCTACTGCAAGTTGAAAGGGGAATATTCCGTAATCATCTTTAATGTCTAATTTACTTCCGTTTTCAACAAGTTTTTCTATAATAAGGGCAGAATTTGATTTTGCAGCGTCAAAAATTGGAGATCTTCCGTTATTGTCCTTTGAATTTAAATCAGCTCCATGTTCAATCAAGAAATCGATAGGAGCGATTTGACCTTGGGAAACAGCATAATGCATTGGTGTTCTACCATAATAATCTTTGATATTGATATCAGCGCCTTTTTTGAGAAGCATTTCAGCTGCATCTAATTTGTTATTCTTTATCGCAGCGTGGAAAGGAGTTTCTCCATAAAAATCTTTCTTATTTGGATTTGCTCCATATTCAACAAGCAAGCAAACTGAAGATGGAGAGTTTCCAAATGAAGCCATGTGCAAAGGAGTAATAACATCTTCATCTTTAGCTTCTACATCAGCTCCGCAATCAAGTAAAACTTTGGATAACTGAGGTAATCCTTTCCAGGAATAAATATGTAATGCAGTTAATCTATCATCATTTGTTGCGAAAACATCAGCTCCATTTCTTAACAAATAGGAGACAAGATGTGGCAAGCAGAAAGGATAGCATTCTATCATGCATTTATTGATTTCCTCGCGTTGACTAATCTTGTAAAATAAAACTTCCAAATTAAAATATTTGCAAACAATTTTTGGATCAATTTCGAAGTTAAAATTGTTTCGAAGATAAATCACAATGTCTAAATTATGTGACATTATTGCATATTCCATTGTTTCTTGGTTTGGTTTAACATTGTTGAGGCATTCGAATATAATTTCTTTCTTGCCGCCTAATAATGAGTAATTCAAGCATTCTCTGCTAATAGTAAGTGAAAAGAATGATTTAAGATACTTAAAACACTCTAAAGCACCGTAATATGCAGCCCATTCTAAAGGATATTTTCCAAAGTATTCTTTTTTAACATCAAAGTCATTTTTTCCAATGTAATACTTGAAATTCTGGAAGTAATTATTCATAATATAGTATAATGGTGTATTTTTCTCGTAAACGTTGAGGATTGTTTGGATGTCCTTGTCATTGTTATGATGGAAATAGTTATTGAACTCATTATTAATCAGAAGTTTAAATTCTGTAGAAAACATCTGAATTTGACTATGTTTTTGATAAAAAGATTTAAAAATTTGCCAATAACCTCTTCTATATTTATTATTGCATTGCTGAGCGCGGTCAATTAAGCATAAAAGTTGATTTAAATCCATATCGTACACTTTTATTAAAGTATTGTCAATTTGTAAAATTAAATCTTGGATTTCTCCTTCTTCAAAGGACTTAAATTTGAATATGCGATTAATAACATCATAAAAAGTGTGATATTCTTTCAGTAATGTGTTATAAACCTCACAGTTTTCTCGATAATTCATCAAATATGAAGTGAATTTGCGGTTGATTTTAGTATAAAATTTCAAAAATAGCATATTATGTACTTAATAATAAACATAGATAATATTGAATTATATTTTTCAATTAATCCTTTCAATTTTTTGGCATTTATTGTTTGACTGATCAACATTTTATCAAGAAATTAACGATCAATCACATATAATTAATCAGCATAAATTAAATTTTTGAAAGCTCTACATCCTTGTTTGAATTCAAATTTGGCTGTATTTTCAAAGAAACCTCCTTGTCTATATGATAATTTCAATATCTAGCACATTTCAAAATTGATATAGGAAAATTTTCAATTAAAAAAGTTAAAGAAGACCTAGACATTTCAATGGAACCATGAACAAGATCATGATACCCCACGTAAGAAAATTTCAAGAATTCAAAGATTTTATCATTACGATAGGTTCTGTTGATTTGCTAACTCACACTACAGCAGATGATAGCTTCATCTAATCCTCTCCTACCATATTGTCTACGGTAGTATCGGAAAATAGAATGCCTGTGTCCCTGCAAGGTGCCATGAAGTTGACACAAATTGAGAACTTTTACGTGGTCGGTCAGAACCCTTAAGAAAATTTGAATGTGCAAAAGATTTGCCTTGTTTACTTGAGAAAAAAGATAAGCTATCAGTTATGCCATTGCCATGTTTACGATCAACATGTAGAATCTTAAATGTTAAAGATAGTTTTATTGATTACAAGATTAGTATTTTTCATTCATACAAAATCTTATTTCGATGATTTATGCTTCCTTTTTCGATTCATGATTCTTGGGAAGATTTCTATTCTGGGAGTTATTCAACGAGTAATGGAGGCACAATTTCAGGAAATGTCTCCATTTCTCGTTGTGTTTTCCAAAATATGGAATCTCACGCAATCTACTGTCAAACTCGAAATGCATTTATCCTTATTGAGTCATGCCTATTTCACCACATAAATTCTGGACAAAATTATGGTGGATCTTTTTATTTAAATTGCATGGTTGATAATGGAATTAGTAGTTTTATTGTTTTAAATAAAATTTGTATATATAAAACAACATCTGGCTATAGGGGAAATGCTTTTTATCTTTTGGATTCGCCAAGTAATAATTATTTGATATCTGTAACTAAATGTGATGAAAAGACTAATGCATATGGAACAGTTTATACTTCTAATGGATATCCATCATTTTCAAATATCAATATTTCTTATTGTAATTCAAAATGTGGCGGATATTATATCTCATGTCCACAATATTCTGCTAAAAATATTAAATTGATATTTAAATATGGAACATTTGTTGAAAATGACAGCCCTAGTCATAGTGCATTTTATTACCATGACAATAACCATCAAAGAGTTTCATTATGTAATTACATCCAAAAAAATAATCAAGGAAATATAATTAGCTTTTGGGACAAAATTCTCAATTTTAGTGATTCTATTTTTATGGTAAATCCTAAATATCAATATATTTCTGCAACGCATTTATTTCATTGCAACATAAATGGTGTTATTTATGATGACAGAGTTATAAAAGGAAAAGATATTTTTCAAAATCCAATTTTTCATTATGAAACAGATGAATGTCATACAAGTATTCTTATTTTAGATAAAGAATGTCAAATTATCGTCAACTCTTGTCTGATAAGAAAAGAATTTATTGAAAAATATCATATGAACTTCATATTCCTTGTTATGACCAAATAAAAATTAAAGTTTGATTATTTTTCATTCTCCAAGTATATACAGAGAAGAAGTGCGTTTCTGATTAAGGATTGAAGTAACAAGTTTGAATTAGATTGCTGCTTCAAGGAATTTTGGTGTATTACGTGATAAAAATGAGTCAATCAATTGTTTAAGGAAATTCAAGTTATCTGGAATCAAAAAATTCATGTATAACATCTCGAATTGCAAGTCGGGATAGTTATGTAATACGTATTTAACAATACTACCATCCGCAAAACAATCAAGACCTAAGATACATGCTGCACAAACTGCGAACAATGCTTGCATGCTATTACCAAGTTTCAAATCTGAAAATTGGTCAAGTAATGGTTCATCTTCGTCGTCCGTTCGTTTACTTGATTTTGTATCTGTGGGATCAAGTTTCTATGCGTTCTTAAGCTGTTTCATGAACTTCTTGATACAAATATGAGTGTAAAGTTTGAAAAAGAATTTATGTCATTTCATGCCTTGGAAAAATAGAATTTGATAAAAATATTATATATGAGTTTTTAGTTTTATCTTCCATTGAATATGTATTTTTCTTTTGATCACCTTCTCATGAATAAATGATTTTGAAATATGATGTTTTTTATTGATCATTTTTATATATTTTTCCTGAAAAATCTAAAACATCACGTCTCAACCTATCGTAATTCGAACAATTTCTACCTGTTTGAATTAATTTGAATGAAATAAATTTATCTTTTGTATCAAGTGAATATTTACGAACTTCGCCATAATCTAATGGAGAATTATTTACTTCATGAAGAACTTTTGTTTCTCCATTAATAGTTGTTCCTTCAATTATCCACGTTCGAAGATGGGATTCAATGTATCTATAGTTATTTGGTACAGTTCTAACAATATATTCAGTAGGTTGAATTGAATAGTTTTGTTTTATCTTCCATTGAACCCATGAATTAGGAATATCTTGAGTTATGAAATAATCGTCACTTCTATACTTATTAATTATGTCAATGTACGTGCCATTTCCTATAGAAGAAGCATACATTTCAACATTTCCACTTTCAAAATAATTTGTAACAATAAAATTTCGTTTCGCATTGTTTGGATTTCTTGATCGCATTAATGATTCAGAAAGTGAGTTAACAACATTTTGGAAGTTATTGATATCAGTGAGATCTATGATATGTTTAATAATTGTTTCGCTGCAAAACTCAAAATGAATGTTTTCAATCAATTTAAATGAATCTTTGATTTCATGTGTAAGAGAAATAATAAAATTAGCAAATGAATCTTCATCTTCAAGTTCGAGTTTTTCATTGCTAAATATTCTCTGAAGAATATCAAAACCGAGTTTCGGACAAATTATTTTAAGTTGATTTAAATCAATTTCGAAGAAGTGAGAAGATATAAAATCGATGCATTCTGATATCTTTTCTTCTGATGAAATATCAAAATAAAATTCAAGTAATCGAAAACAATTATTTTTGTCGATTTTCATTTTGTCAATAATGTATATTTTGTATAAATTGGTAATTTCTTCCATTTCAAGAGTGGTACCGATATGGAAAAGGTCATTAAGAACTGTTTCGTCACATTCAACTTCTGTTTTATTGTATTGAAGAATATCTTTTAAAATATGATATGTATCTTGTGACTTGACTTCTGTTTGGATATCAATTTTTGCAATGTTATTATCTAATAGGTATTGCGAGTAAAAAGTTTGTGAAATTGCAACTGCAAATGACTTGTTAAGTGGAATTTCAACATTGTTGATTGTTAAGATGACTTTTTCAAGTGATTGATAGTTGTTGATTCTATGAAGTATTTGATTTTTAAGCGAAATCAATAACATAATTTATTTTTGATGGTAAATTATCACGCCTATAAAATGTATTTTACGGGTCTGTATTAAAGTCATTTCAAGAGCCTTGTACCGATAAACTAGCCTTGTACTGCCATTTTATGGTGATGTAAAGTATTCAAAAAAATTGCAATGTAAACCATTACATGGCAGAAACTTTAAAATAAACAAAAACATGACACTTAGTACAGGGGCTTTTTGGCTGGTGAAGTCAGATAAAACGTGGCTCAAGTGCTCGTTTAAAATTAAAAATGGAATTTCTCACAGTCGAATTTCTTGGTAGACAACAAAAGTTTATCATCAGTTGTCGCGCCGAAGGTATGACATATAGTCAAACTAAGCTTGCATGGGAGGAAGAATACCCAGATCTCGGAACTTTAACATCCAATCTCATTGCTACTGCACTTAAAAGAGCTGCATTAGGTCTATACTGGGAAAAAGGGAATCATGGCGGTGCAGATCCATACCTATGCGAGCGTGATCAGCTCACTTTAAAAGAAATTATCGAAGATTCTGCTTACAAAGGTGAAGCTCTAGAAGCAGCTGACATTATTGACGAGGCGTTCAAGTTGAAAGAGCTCAGAAGAGATTATGGTTACAGATCCCTTCTTGAGATTAATTGTCCTACTCTTGCAGAAGAAGTTATCAATACTCTTGGTGGTGATGATGTATCGAGACCTTATGTTAACCATATTTTACAGCAATTGCATTGCAAGCTTAAGGCATGCCAAGAGATTGAAGAATCAAGATACATGGCGTGTGAACCAAGAATTATCGAAGAATTCTACGATAAACATCGTGAAACAATCGAAAGTACTCCAGAGGAGTTGATTTTTAGTATCGATGAAACATTCATAAACAAATTTAAGAAGAAGAAAGTTGCATTACCTGAGGAGATAGAGCATATGATCGCCAAAGGAATTCCAAACTTTCCGCACATTACAGCTTTATGCGGATGCTCAATGACAGGCAAATCTGTCCCACCTCTCTTTGTTCTCCCATGTATTGCAGAACTACCTAGAGAACTGAAAGTATTCCAGCGCGAAAGACATTGTTGGTTTACTTCTACGCCAAAAGGCTGGGTGAACAGAAGTGTATTCTTATTGTATTGCATTTTCTTCATCGAGTGGCTTAACTTTGAACGCCAGAGAATGCCAGAAGATATACGTGACAAGCCTGCTCTCATTGTGTGTGATGGACACTCCAGCCGCGAGAATCCTCTGGCATTGTTCCTTTTGGCAAGTGCCAACATCAAATTAATTGTTCTTCCCGCACATACAACACACATTTTACAAGTATTTGATGTTGGCATTGCCAAAAGATTAAAGTCCAAATTCACGGATTATCTGAGAGATTACATTAAGGCACCGAAGCAAGAGTTCAACAGCAATGCTGCAATGATGCGCTACGCCATTATCTACTCATTTATTAGCGCATGGCAAGAATCAGTATCATTAAGAACGGTTCAAAATGCTGCCGCCGCCTGCGGTCTTTGCCCTTGTTCTGTAGAAGCTCTCAAACATAATAAGTATGTTCGTGAATTGACTCCTGCAGAAAAAGAATTGCAAGAGAAAAGAAATTACCGTAATCGAAATCGTTTTAACATCAATGGTGAAGAATTGACGACGATGGACATGATTTGCGCAATTTCTGACAATATTAAGAAGAATCCTGCAAATCACAGATTTTGCAGGAAGCCAGAACAAGACACCAAGGAACGTTTCTACTTTTGGATTACAAACTATCTTGATCCCAGCACTGAGTTGTTGACAAAACTCCCTAATATGCCAGGTTATAGTCCAAATGATTAGGAAAATTTTCCAATTTTCCAACAAAAATTTTCCAATTCTCCACCAAAAATTTTTTAATAAAATATTATTTTACGGCATTGCCCGTCACTTTTTTCAGTACAAGGCTAATATCACAGTATAACCCCCCTGAAAAGACTTTAGAAATACGATATAATTAACCAAAAAAAATTGCTATTGAATAAAATTATATATTCTGTGACAGTTAATATCACTTGAGTATAGATATATAGATAATTTTTACAGAAATCATAAAATTATTGAAATTGTTATCTTATAATGGACTTTTTAAGACGTATCTTGTAATTTATGTCTTATAACGCAGAAGATAATTTGTATTATTAGAAGATGTATTGAAAATGGCAAACCCAAATTTTAGCTAAAAGTGACAGGGAAAAAAAACGTTTAGTATTAAAAAAAAGACCGATGAGAGCTTCGTTCGAAATATAGAGGGAACTGAGAATGCGCAACCATTCTCAGGGAATATTGGATGCTATTCCCGTTCCCTCTGTATGGAAAATTGAGGTTTTCAAAGGGAGTTAAAATAATATCAAATTTATACTAATTTACTTCAAAATACAAAAGTATTTGACAGCTAAAATTAGTTACTTTAGCAAGCCTATCAATACCCTTTTACGATTATTGCTACTTTTTCGAAATAAAGTAAAAACAAATTTATACTAATTTACTTCAAAATACAAAAGTATTTGACAGCTAAAATTAGTTACTTTAGCAAGCCTATCAATACCCTTTTACGATTATTGCTACTTTTTCGAAATAAAAGTAAAAACAAATTTATACTAATTTACTTCAAAATACAAAAGTATTTGACAGCTAAAATTAGTTACTTTAGCAAGCCTATCAATACCCTTTTACGATTATTGCTACTTTTTCGAAATAAAATAAATTTATTATCAAAAAACCTTTTTTCTTAGTAAAAATAAAAATGTTATTTTATATCAAGTTTTTATTCATAAATTTTTATAATGTTGTATAAATTTGAAGGTGGAAATCTGTAATAATTTTATCTTGAAAAGACTTGGCATTCTCAACAATGAATTGAGGGGTATTGCATCCAAATTCTGTAATTTGCGTGAGAATACTAAGCTTGATTTCCATTGGGATACTTAATTTCGAAAAATACTGGGTCATTCGTTTTTGAACCTTTGCTGCCTTGACAACTTTATCAAGTAGGGCATCTAAACCCAATTGAAGCGTATTTAAGTTTGCTGATGAGTTAACTATTAACGATTTAATTTTATCAGTGAGCATTATACATTTTTCTGTATCCAGTCTGATTGTAGACTTTTTTGGCTTTTTTTCAGATGGCAACGGATTTGGAATTTTGTCTCTGAGCCTTATATCTTGAGAAATTCTGTAATAAAATGAAGGAACGATAAAATCGATTAATTTCATCACAAATCGATCAAATCTCATGAAAATTGTTCCGCCAAAGTAGTAATATTTAATTTTTTTGTTAATCGATTCTGAAATGTTATTTGTGAGAGCTAAATTTTCATCTCTTTCAGCGGCTGTCCATCTTTCTTGGTTTGATATCCATTGATTTTGTATGTATTTTGAAAATTCTGGGAATTTTTCGGCTATTTCCAGAATTTTTTTGAACGTTGGTTCAATCCATTCTTTCTTGCCATTTCTGCCGTATGCAAGATAGTTCATTTTTGTATCTAATATCAATTTGTCTGAACTCTCAAATGCATAATCTTTCAAATTTTTCTGAACGCCCTCATTACATGAACTGCACACCAATGAAGGATAACTTCTGGAAAAGAGTTGATAATCGCATTTTCGATTTCTTGTGCACAATCTGACATAAAATATTTTGGTTTTACTTTTGCCCAGTTAAAAAATGCCTTGAGACAGAATGCAATATTTTCTGAAGTGTTTGGATAAACGACAAATTGAAAAATTGGGAATGCATGTGTATTTGGAAATTTGGCTGATATCATGAAAAACAACATTTTAAATTCAAGTAATGAATGGGTTGCATCAATAAAATGCTCTTTCACAATTTTGATTATGTCCAGAAATTTGAAAGAAGCATAATAAAAGATTAATTTCTTTGGTTTGTTGTAATTATCGACATCGAAATAAATTAAATCTTTTGGTGACTCTTGTTCTTTGATACCCTTAAATAATTGAGTTGACTTGAATTGATTATCATCGTACTTTTGAATACCTTTGATCTTTTTATTTCCTTTTTCCTGAATTGTTTTCATTTGATCTGAAGATGCATTCAAAAAAGATGGCCTGTTAAGTGGATCATCCAGATCAAGTTTTATGTCGCATTCAATTTGAGCCATTTTCGGATCACCCCCCTGTTTTATAAAATTAATAAGTACCCGATGATAGCATTGTGATAATGTGTGGTATTTCTTTGTCTCATCTTTGATTTGATTGTGATTATGTGTTCCATTATATTCTGTTAGGATATATTCTTCATCATCCTTTAGAAATGAGATACATGCTTCACATTTATCTGCACTGCACCTGAATTTTAATTTTGTTCCCCCTAAATTTGGATTTTTTTTAATTGATATGAGTTAGTATGGGTTAGTTGGGTACTGTGGCACTGCGCGCCTCCTTACTCATTATATGTGAATTTGACACTTTACAAAACCGTTAACGTATATTTTACAACATGAATGCAAAAACTAACTTAACCTTAAATATTTACAAAGCCGCCAACCACTTCACCTCACTAACGAACTCACTAATGTAAAAATAAACGTTCTCACTATCGTTCTCACTAACGACTTCACTAATGTTCTCATAAATTTTCCTCAATATCTTCATCATTAGTGTTAACCCTATTGTAGTCATACTTGAAGCCATAAACTTTCTCTAACTTCTTAACGTACAATTTACATAACTTACCTTCGTCATCGTATGGTTTAATGATATAACTATTTCTATCTTTATACACAGTCAATGAAAAGTCAACTGGTCTCGGATGTATTTGAAAGAACATGTTATGCTCAGGAAGGAAGAATAAATGTTTAAATGTATGTTTGTTATACTGTGGAATTCGAATGAGTTGCTTTTGTTCTGTCATTTATATAAAAATAAAAATTTTCAGTAAAAATAAACTTAAAAATTAATGATATCACCACCCTCACACGTATGAAAACATAGCACAAAAATAAATTTAGGGTAGAAGGTTAGATCTAACCCGATTTCTAACCTCATTTCTACCCTGTTGAATTCATTGCTTTATAACTCTCTTCCTTTCTCCAACTCTTCTAACTTCTTCTTAAGTTCAGCAATGTTGTCCTCATGAAGTTTAATCTTTCTCAAAATTCCTTCTTTATCTAATGGTTGCTTTATCTTTCTAAACTGAACTCTACCATCCTTCATAGTATGAATGTAAAAACCTTCTGGAATAGTTCCTGATTTAATGTATTCTACCAAAAACTTTTGTTTCATTGCTTCAGTGACTTTAGTCGTCATTTCAATCAAATAAAAATTTTAATATTAAATAAAAATAACGTTATTTTTTTCAGTAAGGAAACGCAGGAGTTTTACGATTTATTTGAGGAGTAGGTTCTGGTTTAAATGTTGGAGTCGGTTTAGGAGTTGACTTTTGAATAGGAGTTTGTACTTCCATAGGTTCAGGAGTCATTGAAGGTTTTGCTTGTGAAGGCGTTGGTTTTGGCGAAGGTGTTGGAGTTTGTTTAACTTCAGCTACTTCAGTATTATTTACAACATTTGCTTTATTTCTTTTCAACATCATAACTGCTCCTGCTGTAGCTAGCAAACCTAGTGGGAGACCATATTTTATATAAGGACTTGACCAAATGCTATTTTTGACAGGAGCTGGTGGAACACCTAACCTTGGTGAGACTGCTCTTTGCCATTGTGCAGCTCGTAAGAAATATTCAATAGGTGCTCCATAATCGTTTGGTAAAGTTTATTTCATAGATGGTGAAGGTTCACGAGAGCTTGATGAAGAACTCATTTATAAGCTTTAAAATAAACGTTCATCCTTTATTCCTCACTGTCGTCCGCAGCTAAGTTATAGTCATCTAATCTTATTATTGGGATTCCATTAGCACGCACCTGAATGGCAAAGCAACAATCCCTCATAAATCCAATAAGTGGCTTTGGTACATTTTCAGTTGCTAGTTCAATAGGTCCTTTAACAGACAATTTGTATGTTATTGGAGCAGTAGATGTTTGACCTTGCTGGAAGCAAAAGTCCACTTCTGTTGGAAAACCACATAAGAAATGTGTGTTGTCATAACTATCCCATTTATGTTCCACACTACCATCATCCACCAATGACCTCATAACATCTTCATTAAATCCAATCATATCATTGTTTGTATTGCAAGCGTTCGCAACCATTTCATAAAATACAGGTCCATATGATTTTTCAGGTTCTGCAGGCATATTTCCATAAGCTCCCATGGAAAGCTGAAGATATTTAAACTTAGGGTTCTCAAAATTAACATAATAGTTGTCTTTCTTTCTAAATAGTGCCCAAATACTTTTAACATTAATAGGCGTATAAGCTGCTGTAAATGTTGCACTTGAACTATCTGTATTCTTTGAGAATGAACCGTCCATAGGAATCCAATCCATAACTTTAACAGGAAAACATAAAGCCTCGTTTGTATAATGTTCTACAAGTTCTGTATAAATGTTAGGGTCTAAAGAGAATGATTTTGGATGAATGAAACATTCATTAAAATCCATCTTTATTCGAAATAGTTGCTGGGTTACAGTTGTAATAGTAACTGTTCCACTAGCTTCTATTGCCTTCGTTATCATAGTGAATGGTTCATTCCATGGAACAAATTTATTTGTCGGTGGATTTGAATCTGAAGCAAATGCAACTTTAAGAGTTGGATTGAAAGCAACGATATCATTTACAGATATAGATGTGCATTGTAAGGCGTCGCTACTGAACTTTACTTTAAGCTGAACGTTTCCTGCAAAAGCTGGAATAAATCGAATAGCTTCTAATGGAAGGAATCTTCCAACAGGAATTCTTAAACGAAGCTTAAAATCAAATGATTTTCCTGCTGTAATTGGACCACTAACAATTTGTCCTGTTCTGCATGTTCCCGAATGACTCCATACATCTTCATGTCGAGTCTTTGAGAAAACATCTACTTTCTTTATTTGTTCGGTAGTTTGTGAGTTTGAAGTTATATATGCTTCTTCTCTTGCGTTGTCTTGAGAATATACGATACGACCATTTGCAAGGATTTGATATCCAGCAACTGCATAGAAAGCGTCATCGAAACCAATCCAAAATCCTGGTGGGTTTGTTTTATTAGAACCTGAACCAATTTCTTTATCTGCAATAAATTGACCTTCCATTTTATACGTAATGAATGTATTGTAAAGGTCCAACATATTTTCACCAGGAGGTGAGAGATTGAATGTTACCCATGTGTTATCTTTAGCAGTTCCAGGTTGTGATGGAATCTTTGCGTCAGAATATTTTCTATTAGTGTCACCAATTTGAACTGCATTGTCTATGATATCGAAATATGAGCGAATCTGATGAATATGCTCTGCTGGAGTAAATTCGTTTAGCTGTTCGTTCTGCATGTATTTACTTCAGATAAAAATATCTATTTACTTCATTATTCTCACTCTTCTTCTTGACATTCGTGGTGGAAGTTGTTTCTTGACATTTTCAATGAACTGTACATTCTCTTTTGTCTCAACTTCTTTCACTGGTGGGTCAGGGTTCTTTGACTCGGTTTGCTTTTCAATGAAATTCACGAACTTTGCAATAAGCTCTTGGTTCGTTATTGAAAGAACATCTGGCTTCTTTTCTTCTTGTTCTTTTGGTGGCTCAGTTTGAACAGAAGGTTTTATATGGGCTTCGCCCTCGGTGCCATGCACCTTAATGTTGTCGCTTTCTGCATTCGCTAATGGAACCTTTCTTTTGCTTACATATATTTTACCATCTTTACTCTGACTTACATAATAGAAAGGATGTTGTATTCCTCTTGCGTCATTTAATATAATAGACTCTCGCTCTGATTTTGACAAGCTCATTTTACATCGGTTAAAGTTTTAATTTTGTTTTTTATCTGCAGTCAAATGACTCAGACAAGCCCTACGGACAAGACCCAAGGGGTCATAGATGTTGAAGCATTGAAGAAAGAAATTCGTGAGCAAATTTTATCCGAACTGAAGGAACAAAAACAAGAACAAAAGCCAGAGAGACCAAAGAGAAAACTTAGTGAAAAACAACTTGCTGCATTAGCTGCTGGAAGACAAAAGAACCCACGTTTGCTGGCGAAGAAAGCTAGAGAAGAAGCTGAAGCAAAAGCTAGAGAAGCTGAAGCAAAGAAAGAGTAAATGTGTTATTTTTATCGGAACTAAATGTATAGACAAATACCTTTATCTGTTGCGTTCAGTAGTGAAAACCCTGACGTCAAAATAAAGGGGAACAGAGTAACGTTTAAGTTTCCAACAGACTGGATTGTGAACATAAATGAAGAGAAGTACATTGGCATAACAAATATGTATATAACACGTGCTTTCAGAAAGGTTGACTTTATACTTCAAGTCGAGATAGAAAATGACGAACAGTCTTTTAGCGCCCAAAACATTCACATATACAAATACTTTAAAGACGATACAACATTGTTGCAATGTATGATTTCATTTAATGAAATGTTCGAGAAAAAGTTTAACATTGAAGTACAAACTTTACAGCCTTTACGTGAGTTTCTTGCACAACTGAAAGAAGAAGGTAGTCAGCCACAACTTATAGACTTTCATTATGAATTTAATGAAAATGAAGATGGAGCACATGACTGTCAATTCATTGTATTCTCACCATTCAATGAAGTCGCTAAAAAGAAAGAAAATCCATTACGTATAAGATTTCAAATCTCTGAACCAAGTGATGATTTCAAGAATGTTTTCAATTATGATGCAATGCTTCCGAGGAAAAATGAATTTTCAAAGATTGTAACACCTGGCATTTGGGATAGAAAGCAAGCTATTCTTTTCTCTAATATAGCCAAAGGCGTTGAAAATGAGTTCATTGGTCATACAAGAACTACACCACTGCCAAATCCTAAATACTATAAATTAACTGGCTTCAATCGTGAGTTTTGGGTAGACATGTTCTCCACTCATGACCATAAAGCACCTGTTTTGCTACCTCCAGACCATAAGGACTGTCTCTACATTGAAGCACAACTCTTAAACTCTACCATCGCAGTATTGTAAAATCTACGCTAGT